GTACTACACAATGCAATTCACTGACTCAATATTTATTTCTTTCACATGGAACTTGCATCATAATGCACCACTCGACTCATATGGCTGATTCTTGTTACGAGTTTTAATGGATCAGCAACCAGGTTTTATTTTCAGACGATTTATGCTTTGAGATTTTATACTTGTAACCCATAACTTTACTTTTAAAAATAGAACATACTACTTTATTTGCCTATCGAAGGCTTAATTAATTAAATCTTATGAAGCAAACTCCACAAGCAACAAAAGATTATTGAAATGGCGACAGAACGCAGTGGCTTGACATCATCCACAATATCGCACTTTTAAATATCTTAACGTCTTTATAGAAATATCTCAATCGCCTTTTTACAAACTATATTATTTTTTATTGTCAAACTAATTTGGTTAATTTTCACTGCGTTACGTTACGTGAGTGTTAAAAGGACTGTTTTTTGTGTTAAAATATATGAGCTTGTAAGGAAACATTTTAAGACAAAGAACATCTGTTTTTAAAAAAGATCATGATATATCTATGTCAAAATATTTGTTTCCACTTTTGCACACTATGTCTGTAACTTCATGGTAGATTTGTTTGGATTCTCCAAATATTGCCTTTTGCAAGTCCACCTGTACAAATAAATTATAGAGAAATATTCTCACCGAAAAATTATTTAATGTTTCCTTTGAATATTTCTTACGGATATTTCCATTACACCATAAGAGACTCATATGAAACTTAGGATTCTGCAGAATGATAGGAAAACTGACAGTCTTACCTTATAGTACTCTGGTCCTCTAAATGCAGTGACACATGCGTCAACGGAATTACGTAGAGAGGCCAGTGCTATTCGCGACTCTTCAGAAGATACTAAGGTAAAAAATGATCTGACGATTATAAACGGTAGAAAATGAGTACCGTGTATTATCTTCATTTACAAGAACTTCTACGCCATCAAGCGCAATCCAGAACCTGCAATTGCTTAAGTATGCATGCAGTAATCTTACTTTCCAAACGAGCTTACAGCAGAACGAAGATTACCAACGAGATTTTCAATCCAATGGTAATAAATAGGCCAAGTCTTCGACAAACTTATGTGGGGAGAATCCACGGTACAACAATCACCCATTACAGGGTTTGATTGGATTATGGGATTGTTGCTAGCTTCAAGTATTTGGGCAGGAAAATGAGAGCCTTGATATATTAAAAGAAGCATTAGTGGTTACATGGAATATAAACCGAAGTAGCCCAATTTCCAGGTTCATGAGGAAAAGTTCTCTGACGAAAATCATGCTTCGAAGGATCCTCTTCCCGAAGAACAAAACGAAAGGTATCAGAATTTAAGTCTTGTAATAATGTAGGCAGCTCCAATTTATCACTTTTTTCATCATCACTTGATGAGTATTCAACTAAGTGTGTATTCATACTACAGTGAATAGATGTAATCAGTAGCGGAATGAAATGTACAAAGTTTCACTCACTAAAACAGAATGAGAAGTAAAGAGTAAATAGTAAAGATAAAAATGAGTAAATCAAGAGAATACTCTGTGAGTGCGTCTATGGTTGAATTTAAATCAGTATTTGGGGCAGTAGGTCACTGAAAGCTCCAGTACTACTAACTTTCTGTGGAAAGGGCAGTTTCTTTCCTTGAACCACAGTAAAGTAAACTGAGATGAATCAACAACTCGTATGCATGAGATCTAACAGAATAGTTTTATGGATTGTAGATCAACCTCAGATAACTCCAAACATATGATTTCAAAAACTAAACAACCAGATTGTGGTGTTAGGATTCTTTTAGTAAGCTAAATCTCACGAACTAAAATTCCACGAATTTATTTCCTTAAGCTTATTTATAACATAACTACATAAGATTTTCCACTTCATTATCATGCTTACGTAACAACTCTATATGTCTGCCTATGAGTTGTACTAAAACTTACTCGCACTGCTAACTTGAGCTTGAAGGTCGTTTTTGAGTTTCCGCTGAAAGAAGAATGCAACAGCGCAAGCAGTTGAAGACATGAAAGTAAAAGCTTGCAGGTTAAAGGCTTCAAAGTCCAGTAAGAACCTATGTTTTATTAGGCGAAGTGAAATAAAAAGACTTTTAAGATATTTAACTGCCACTAAGCCCACTACGGTTGTAAAGCAGATCTAACGCACTTAGTGGTAATTAGATATCTATTTATACAGATTCTAGGGCAACCGTTTTGTTGAAGTAGCCTCAATTTATTTATCAGGAGTAAAGGACACACCGATACTATATTCGTAACTTAAATATTCGTTTTCGTACAAATTGAGGATCGAAATAAGCGGACTGCTTCTGTCTAAAAAATGGCGAGACCGACCTAGTATGTATTATTTTCAGCGATTCTGGTATTCCAAGAATTGTATGAATAAACTTCAGGACGTTCTAAATGCATGCTACATAAGATTTCATCGTGTGAAAAAACTCCAAACCGCATAAACATCTTTGATTACATAGAAGAGTTTTTTCCGATTGTTTGCGGGTATATCTGATTTCTAATAGTAGTTCAGAATGATATGTTAAGAGACAATTTTATTTGCCAACGATCTTTTTGCGTACAATCGAGTAAGTCAGAGATGCTGATAGTCGCTAAATTAAATTTGGACATTTGCTGAGGGCTAAAACAGCAATACATCGTATTCCAAATAATATTAGAAATTTATTCTGAAATAATAACATACTGCAAGAGTTATGTCAATTTACAGGCAAGATCAAAATTTTAAAATTATTAAAAAATTTTCCTGAAAATGTTGTTTAGTCAGGTAAATATTTCACAAGACACACTGGCTTTTTATACAGCGCTAATATTTTTCACGTAAAACTGTCGATAATATTTCAGACTCATGACTGTACAAATAGCGAGAGTTATGTCGGTTACTTAGCTACAGTTTTGTCTTAAATAAATTCTCCACATGAATCGAGGCCGATCGCTGTCTCGTTGTGGATATTCACGCCTCGCATATGAGTTTCTTGAAGCTAGCAACTTAATGCGGATGTTTTGATAATAAGTTATTGCAGACTAATATTCAGTACCAACTTTAACGATTGACGGCAAAGTCGACAAACTTACTTGTAAGACGAACCTTAGCAATTATAAATGGTCTCGACCTACCATTATAATGACGTTACGGACATGTCATCCTTATCCTCAAAGGATAACCGAGATATAATAAAATGGTAGTCTAGATTTTGGACCCGATATACGATGTATATTTTCCCCGTTTCATCCCAGTTTCTGGGGGAAGCTCCCATACCAACAATTTATTATTCGGGTCAGTGTAGAAAATGGAGTATTCGCAAAACTCTATCCCAGAACTTAACTGTACCCTTTAATACACGGCTGAATCATCGTAACTTATTACATCACATGCCACTGATCGGTAGGAAATCTATAAGTCATGACTTTCTAAGATTATTTCGGTACTTGATATCATCGATGAGTCATGAACCATTTAAGCTTAAATATCGAGATATCTGAAACATATGTACCTAGACTTTGCATCACTAATAAGAAACTGTTCGAATACTATGGCCACACTGTTCTTGAAAAGTCATTTTCATGCATTTAAAGTCAGGATATTGCCATTGTAGAATCTTTTTTGAATGTTTTGTTTTTTGGAAAATCCCTCCATGTTTATATATTTTTGTTATGACATGACGGACTTTTTCTGTTGACATTTTGGTATTTTATTTGATTCCAATTTGAGATTTTATCATTGTATATTGTTATTATTTCTATATTTTGTACAACAATGGAAGATTTTCACGCTACGGATGCTAATGCAGACAGAAACGACGTGACTTGTCTGACACAATGGAATCATGATGACGTTGATAATAATCTGGATGTCACTGATGTGACAAATGAGTTGCCGACGATGACGAATGCTGATTAAACCTCCTCTGTATCAGAAGATGGAGAGATAAATATTGGTCCCATGTTGTGCCACTTAAAGTCTTCGGGAGACGAGGAAGTATCAAATTTGGAGATCCCACCCTTGCATATTATCTATGGGTCAAGAACTTCTGTTGATAAGTCAGCATCACTGACTTCATTGTATCTGCCGATCGGAGCAAGTGGTGTTGAAATGAAGACTCATCCCCATGATATAGAATGTAGTTCCCGGATAGGATATGACCAGCCTAACGACGTGTTGTACATGTTCGTATGTGTTAATTGGATAAGGTTTATACTACCGTTAGGTCATGCTACGATAGATAGGGGAATCAAGGGCCTGATGGGAAGGTATAGGTACCTAGTTAGCTTGATAGGTCATATCCATGTTGGAGGGCGGGTAGGCGTACTGCTGTAAGTCCTACACGTTCTTCCGGTGTGGATTAGGGGATGAGTGGGAACCCTAAATAGAAGTGTCATTAACGCTTGCTTTTTTGCATGGAGGGATTTTGCGGGCCGGTGTAGAATCCTTTTCGAATGTTTTGTTTTTTGGAAAATCCCTCCATGTTTATATATTTTTGTTATGACATGACGGACTTTTTCTGTTGACATTTTGGTATTTTATTTGATTCCAATTTGAGATTTTATCATTGTATATTGTTATTATTTCTATATTTTGTACTTATATTGAAGTTTTTATGTTTGCTTCTGAACTGTATATATGTTGTTTAAATTTGATCTTTAATATGGCTACAGCCATATTTGGATTGAGACTGTGGCGGTTGGACTTATTACCTTTGCCTTGGATACTCCTCGGAGTAATTGTGACTTGGAAAGTGCATCAACTTCAGGTATTGCTTTGTATTCCCATCTTTTAATATAATATAGACCGTTTTCTCATAGAATTGTTGTGTTTTTTGGACATTGGACTGGGAGATACGCGTACAAACTGCACTTACTGGAAACCAATTGAACTGCTACGGTAGAAAATCCATTTATAGCCATTATTACCTCTCATGTCCGCACTACCGTTTTAACAACTGTAAGTCTAGTGACTATGACTGGGAGGCCGTTTGTGATTACATGCCGACCTTAAACATGACAAGCTATTGCATCACGACGGGTTTCACTCAAGACGGTTTTCAACTTTCGCGGGCATCAGCCAAGAACCCTTACGTTAACGTCCAACATTTCCCAGTCCTAGAATCTACCCCCTAAAGATTGGAAAGATCTTGTCAAATGCTGTATATTTATATAGTGTGCTATGCAGTGGTTTAAAAACATCTGACTTAGCATACATTTAATTAGGTTTAGCCTTATAATTAACCTGTTTAATAGGCAGAGTTATTTGCATAAAAATAACTTAAATGAACCATTTGCTTTTATTATTGACGCGTTTGAATGAGCAAGTGTGGTTGAGCATCACTTACCGTCTGTGTGCCTATTCATTCCATTCTTTTTAATGTTAGCCTCTCTCATTTGTTTTCCTACGTATATATGAGTGAATTTTAATCCTGTTCACTCATTCGCTAACTCGTTCAGTTGCTCACTAGCTCTTCGGCACTCGCATACTTTTTTTCTCCATGTGCCTGTAGTTTTGGTGGTGTCTGTGGTGGGGTGACAAAAAACGCATTCATCACTTTGTATTCGTCTCCTAATTTATAGGCATTTGGACGTTATCTAGTAACTGCTGTCACCATGAGCAGTATATGAAGTCTAGGAATATATCGAATACCGAATACTGGTGAGACACATCCATCACAGTATTCCTATCGGAACTTCAGTAAGTGGCTGGTTACGACGACTAATTCTCATCATCAGTACCTACAATCAGTGAAAGTATACTGGAAAGTGTATTACACCCACTGCTGCTTCTCATCTATGCAAACAATCTAAGTTGACCCATAAAATATTGGAAACGTATGCGGTATAGTATACAGCTTTATGATTGAAATTTTAGAGGAAAGATGTGTGCATTTCTCACTAGATTCCTAAAGGTGGTATCGGTTGTAGAATTAACGACTGATTGTAAGTTTTACATTCTGCGGGGTAAGTGTGACATTATTATCGAATTGGAAAGGCAGATAACCCTGTTTTTAGGCTCCGAAAAACTTTGCTAAGTATTTTCAGGACTACTACTCAACCCCTGGATACTTTTAGATCGCTAAGCATGTAGACTCACCTGAAGAATGTGCTGACCGACGCTGATATATCACACTCCCAATGTCATTAGTGACTAATGACATCAATTTTTAAACCACTGTCATCCAAGTCCTGACACTCAGATCTTCCAAACTCATTCAGAGTCCGAAAAATGTCTAATGTTGCATCAGGTGTGTGACAGAGAGCTTAGAGTTAAGCGGCAATAAACTGAACCACTTCACAAACGAACGTAGGGTGGATTTCCTGATCATGATGATTAGGAAAATGGCTAGATTCGCTGGTGTCTGCTTGGCATGACATTTTGTCCATTCACAATTTCTTACGACCTAGCAGTATGTGGATTTGTTAGCTCTCGCTTTGACTCACGTTTTTAGCGAAACTGGATGACTGTGTAGAAAGTGGTCCAATCAAGATTTCGGAAGGGTAAAAATCATGAACACAGAGCGATAATAATCAATGTGAAAACTAAAGTGTCATCATTGTACTCAAATACTTTATTTCCCTTTCTGCAATTGATGGAACAACACAATTCTTCTGAATCTCATTCACTGAAGAGGTCCTCAGTGCTTGTAGGATTTAATTTGTGCTACAGATGTAATTCTAGAACGGTAAATGCAATACTAGCGAGCACAGAATCACTGGTAAAGCCATAGTTAGTAAAAGACAACTTGGTTTTTAACTTCATCTGTTTCTAAACAAAAAAAACGATTAAATTAGTACAATAAATATGAAAATTACAATTATCAAGTAAGACGAGCAAACGTACCGACCAGTATGGCGTCTTTAGAATATGAATAAAAACATGAGTCACATCAATATAATGCAATAATAACTTCCTTCAATCAATAGGTCATTTACAACAATGAAGGTTTACAGAACGGTCAGACTAGATAACGTGGTGAGCGCTTAACCAATCTGATTGGTTAGTTATGGCATAACTACAATTAGTTATAAAATAACTAACAGTGCTTTCCTACCAATTCCGTAGACTTCTTTCTCTCACTTATTTATTCAAAACTGTGTAGCGATTCAACTAATAAAATGTATAAGTTTTACTAAACATTCCTTAGTTTCTTCACCACGAATGACTTGAATTTGTCAGTCTAAACACCATCCATTCCGCTTCCCATATTTTTCGGTTTCTTTCGATCTTTCAGTTTAGTCATGATACAAAAGGAAAATCAGATTCATAAAATATATGATTTCAAACTGCACTTTGATACTTCGTGATGAATAAAAATGGTTATCACCTGATGCTTGTTGAGTTACTATCAAGCAGTACATCGTCAACCTTTATCGATGCAAACACTCGAAACGAAACGTTGACAAATCAGCTTATGAAGGTGAAAACTAACAAGATATCCTTGGTGATTGAAATTTACTAACCAACGAGCTTTCTATGCGGCTGACGAGAAACCACGAGGAAATTAAGGTCATAATCAAGTTCAACTTACTTGGGTAGCCTAAGACTCTAACAGCACCTGTGAATAAATCCTTAAACCGATAGAAAACGCATAACTAGTAGTACTATCCATCATGGGTTCAGCCTAAGTTAGAATGATGACTGCTTTAGGGAGTCATAGTCTGGATATGTTTAACATGATCTTACCAATTTTCAAAATGATAAAATAGTGTGTATTCAGTCAATTTTTATTTCAAACTTGTCTCACATCTGAAAACGACAGAGAAGACCGTTGTTCAGAGACCCTTGAATCACTTAAAAAATAATAGGGTACGGAAGTCTTGCCTTTTTACATTCCAATAAATGTGGGTTGGAGATAACGTAATTATATTGCACTAGATATCAAGAAGTGATGTCTAACACAGTTCATCAGTCCTACGAATTAATCATCACATTAATAAACACGAAGCAAGAGTTTCTGAATGTCCATCACAATCGTAATCTTCATCATATGCACTTTTTCTAGCAGAGGGCTCTTGGATATAATTGCTGAGGAAAATTATATCTACGTCTTCCATGTGGGTAGTTGAATGGAAATTAAACACAGAAGTTACCGGAGCAGAGACTTATTTTCATTTGAAACAAAAGGTTGTGAGTTCAATTTCAACGGAATAAAGTAACTCACTCTATAGAGAAAATTTTAAATTATTGATTCACTTTAACTTTTGCTCTTGTGAATTGCTTAAACTGCACTGAAGATGAAGGCCAAACGCTCACCGTGATTTTAGGTCGTGTGATTTATTATTGCTTTTACTGGCAATGTCAACTACAAAACCATTCGTTCCGAAAACGTCTGCAATAACATCAGAATATACGATTACAAATACTGTACTAGGCTTTGGGGTAACAGGAAAAGTGGTGCAATGTGTTCATAATGTGACAGGAATTCAGTATGCCTTGAAGGTAATATAATTTAGTCTGTCGACCTATTCCTCAGATACTTGAGGACAATCATAAAACAAGGCGAGAGGCTGAAATTCATTGGAGAGTTTCAGACTGTCCTCATATCGTAAAGGTTGTAGATGTATTCGAAAACACAAATCAGAACACTAAAAAGAACTATCTTTTACTAGTAATGGAATGTATGAGGGGTGGGGAGCTATTTAATAAAATAAAGGAGAATGAAAACTTCACGGAAAGTGGTAATTCGTAAACGCGGAGGTTTATCTTTTTAGAAGCTGCAAAAATTGTTTATCAAATATCCTCTGCTATCGCCTATCTTCATGAAAGAAATATAGCGCATCGTGATCTCAAAGTAATATTTTATTTATGAACGAACTTTCTTTAGCCAGAAAATTTGCTTTACACATCTAATCAGAGCGATGCTGTCCTCAAACTTACGGACTTTGGATTTGCAAAAGAAGTTATCGCCAAAAAGTCACTTCAAACACCATGTTACACTCCATACTATGTCCGTATGTTTATTATCATTTTTTGTAATTATACTTTTATCTAGCGCCAGAAATCCTGAACTTCGAAAGATACGACAAGTCTTGTGATATTTGGTCCCTAGGTATAATAACCTATATTTTGTAAGCATCTAACATATAATAATATTGTTTAGGCTTTCAGGTTGTCCACCATTTTTTAGCCAGAATGGTCAACCAATATCTCCTGGTATGAAATCGAAAATTCGAGCTGGAAAATACGATTTTCCTGATGCACAATGGAAATACGTTTCAAAAAGTGGTAAGTGGTGTATTTAATTTAATGGTACCAAAATCGTACTTAAAACTTTTCTCCTTGGTGATATATTTCACAGAACACTTACTTCTAGTTTATTCGTTACCAACATTGTAAGCTAGCCTTTTTTTAATCCAAGCTTCTGAACATTTGCAATTATATATTTCGTTCTCTATAGATAGTCTTACTTGATATCCTTATTCACTTCTCTGTAGTACATAATTTCCCAGGGCGGTTACCTATAGCTTTTTATTCATTAAAAAAGGCATCTAAGATCCTGATTTGCCTTTAAGTAGGTATAATACAAATTCATATTGTTTTTCCTAATAATACTGCAACCATGTTAAGAACCCACAAGACATTATTTGCAGATATGTAGGAATTGGATGACTTATTTTTACTCACTTTAAACAGCTAATCTGGAAGGGAAAAAATATAAAAAATTCAATCTGGTCTTTGGATTTGAAGGTTCAGTATACTATTAGAGTAGAAAAAAATCGTAACCTAACCCATTGATTTAATTCATGTCTTGTAAATTCTCAGTATATTTATGATCACTCTAATCATTAATACACTCACTCAAATACTACATGGTAATGCTCTTGTAATGCTTATAAAGATTAAATTTTGTGTGACTATTGGTAATAATTTACTGAGCAACTAAATGTAGCATCACTTTTGTTGACCACCATTTGACATTAATTTTTTAGTATATTACACATTACTGATTAAATTGCTTGAACCATCTATTATATATTCTACTGAAATTATGCTTTACTCTGTAAGAATTCTAGCTTCATAACTTGCCAGTACATATGTAAGTTCTTGGACTACATTTCTATCAACTCACTTATCTTCATAGACAATATTGAGTTTACAAATATTCTCAATTCATTCATAACCGTATAAACGGTTTATGTTTTATTAACGATTATATAACCTGCATATCAGCGTAAACCTAAAATAAATGAAAAGAAACGCACTTAAGTTTACTTGGGCTTCAAATGTCTTTTAAGTGTTTCTGAGGATTTATCCTTGTACGTTTGGTAGTTAGAATGAAGCAGATTAAGCCTGAATAGCTGAAATTGTATATCCTAAGTATGCTTTTTAGCCAACATCCTATGGCAACATCCAGCGACATTACACTTGATAGTGTGTTTTATTTTGATCTTATTGACAGAAGTTTTTAAATTATTCCTTATATCCATTGTCTTCATGATAAGAACGTATTTTTGCCCAAACGTTTTTTACTTCTACAAATATTTTTGTGTGGCGGCTCTACAAGGGTTCTTACTGATGCATACTTAAACAACAATTTGAAATCATCAAGACAACTTCAAATGCCTGTATTGTTTTAGTCAGTTATTTTAATAACTCAAGTAGGGCGATTTTTAATTAGCAACACTATATTTCAAAACAAAAGTTATTGCACTACTAAACTATCGTTACTTTGTTAAAGGTAATATAACCTAGATTTATGAGATATTTTAAATCAAAAACACATTCAGTTAAGACTCATGAGTATGTTCTTAAGCTTATCTTCAGCTTATCTGAACATGACTAGAATAATACATATTCACTTTAATTTACTCTGCAACCAGTTATCTTTTTGCGGTCCGATCGTTGAACTTTTATTTGAATTATCTCACAAACCATAATTTTTTTAAATAATGCAGTAACTGAATAACAACTTTATTCGTACTCTGTGTTATTCCTGTTAAGCGATGTACTATTCAGTTTAGCAATTTCTTAAAAAAATCTTTCACTTATATCATTCCGGCCTTTAATTCTTTTTTGAAAAGAATACATTTTAAACCATCGAAAATCGACAACTAGATCAAACAAAGTTTGAAAAACACATAATTTACATGAAATCTAGTTTAGTTAATGAACGTTACTGAATTTTCTGTTGCTATCATATGTTTTTATTCTTAATCTATGGTCATTTATATCTTCACCAAATTTGTATATTTTCATTTATTAATAGCTAAGGATTTAATCAAAAGTCTCTTACTCACAGAGCCAGATCGTAGACCTACAATTAGAGAAGTGATGAGTAACCACTGGGTGGCTCAACATAATGATGTACCTAATACACCTCTTGGAACTAGTGTATTTCTCACCACAAAAGCATGGGATCAATTTCGAGTAGGTCTGATCTTTAATAATTTATCACTAATCTATCATCGTAATCCCAGTTCTTATTACTAATCACAATAAAATATTTATTTGAAGTTATTCTTTATCTCGGCATGTCAAAGAGACTAATGTCTCATAATATTGAAAGGCGAAGAGAAATCTTGATTGAATTTAAGGTAGTAAAGTACTTAGAATGGACCATAACATCATAACCAGTTCATAATAACAGATTTACTTATTGTTTTCAATCAGCCTAATTTTGTGTGCATAATAAAAAGCCTGCTAAGACTCTATTGAATTTCATCATATACAGTAAATGAAAGAAATTAAACTTCAAAAACATAATTTATTAAGATAAGCTGACAGAAAAACACAGTATCCGTTTAAACTGTGATGTAATTCTATTTGGTTTTATCGAATCTGTTTTGAAACAGAATACTAATCTTCCAGGTATATTATATCACTAAATGATAATGACCTAGGGAAAAAACTCCTAAAAAGACCTCAAACCTACACTTTTGTACCTTTATGATAGATGAAAATTATGTGTATGATCGATAACTCTCATAGTAAAATAACTACTAGTTGAACTTATTCAAAAGCTAAGAATCAGATTTATTTTAGAGAACAAAATTGCAAATAATATATATTGTCTAACTGACTGCGTCATTATTTTGATTCGGATTATACACTGTCTAGATAGATAGGATATCGCTTGTTTCGTCTTTATATTTCTATGAATAAGGTATGTTCGTATAGTCTGTCAGGTGATGGCTTAATTCACAATTCATAAACAACATTTTGATGTTGATGTTAATGACTGAATTAAAATGCTTTAGCACAGTCTTAAACTGAAACACAGTAACAAAATATTATCGTTTTCAATAGCTGTAATTGATAATGTTTCCGTCGAACTTGTATATAATCAGTATAAATGTTGCTTGAAACAAATATATGATCATCACTTGAACGCATTATTTCTTTTTATACCATGTGATAGCCATTTTATTAAACTATGATTTTCATTGTCGATGAAAGAATACAACATAAACGATAGATTAAGTAGACCAGCATTCATATACAGTACAGTTGCAGGAAACAAACAGATAAATTTACAGCCGTTAAACACTAAGTGCTTTATTTTGATGCAGCTTGTAGATGAGAGCCAAAAATGCTTACTATCTATAAACAAACAATTACACAAGGCGTAGAATAAAATTTAAAATAACCTTTGTGAAAGTATTCCATAGTTTACAATCTAATCAATAACCGTATTGAACTTGAAAAACCTTAGGTATTTCAAAAATTCTATATACTTAATGACTATGAAAATAACGTTTTGTTAATTTATATATTTTTTTTTCAAAAATTAATTTTCTCTTCCATTTATTCTTTTTTTTCAAAAAAATAAAGGAGTTATTTTGTGAAAGTCTTCATACAAAACGTAAAGAACACTCCAATGTTCCAACTTTAATGACTTTAGATGCTTCCAAGAATCCTCTATTAATTAAACGTAAAATTAATCAAAAATCTAATCCTGAAAATGATGCTCATAAAACAACACTAAAGTAATCAGTATATATATATATATATATATACCATCATCAACAACAGCAATAGCCTGAAATGACTGTTTATTGTTAATAGTACTAGTAATATTGATTTATTGATGTTTTTTCCACTTAATCACGTCAATGTTCAATTTTTTCTCTTAGCATTCTATTCATCTTTACTATTTTCTTTTTGACTTATTTTTTTCCTACGGCTACTGATCATAAACCTTACTAAACTTTTTATACACAATTTTTAAAACCATATATATATATATATATATATATATATATCGTACTATATAGTAATATTCTATGGTTGTATATTTCTCATTGATAAACTCTTCCTACTTTGTCCATCACATTATTTTATCGTTCCAATTTATAAGCAGCATTAAGTCACTTATTTTTTCATTGTGTACAAAAATGTAACATTTATATTTTTTTTTTTAAAAAAAAATGACTTTTAGAATGCTTTTTTTGTTTTGTGAAACTTATGTAATGTTGTTGTTATCCATATTCAAAATTTAAGTTTTCTTTATGTATGTGTTTATAGACATGTTAACAAATATTTTAATCGCTGATTAAATCAATGACTGCTTGCATTAAGTCATTGATTTGTCAAAAATACAAAATTTCTAATCATTGTGGATATCACTAAACAAAAAAAATGATAATTATTTTATTTATTGTGATTGTGATTATGATTATTAACTTTTTATTCAATGCTCAATTCTTTTTTGAAATGATCAAGTTCAATCTTTGATTATATAGAGTATCATTAGCAACATGTATTCAATTTATTGTAAATGTTTATATTGTTGTAACAACAATACTGTCAGCTATATTTTACATTAACTAAATTGTAATATAGTAGAGTAGTACATTGTACATTGAATAAAAAACAATAAATGGATTTTTAATCATGAAAAAAAAACAATTTAACAAACTACTTGCTTTTTACATTACATTACAAAATGAAATTTTTAACTAATTGATAAAGTACAATTAGATTTACTGAACACTTTTTTTCTCTATACATGGATTTCACAGGTTGAAATGTTTCCTGATCATTTCCTATCAAATACTGTTGTTAAATATAAAAATCGATTTTACAAAGATAGCATCTAAACTGTAAAAATACTCTCCAATAACCGTAAATGAAAAGAAGACAATCCTATGAAATGACTTTAAACCATTGTATCTTTCATGAAATAATTATAGTACGATATGAAAACATATCGATAACAATTGATAACCTCAAAACTGTAAATCATTATGAGCACAGTGACCGGAGGGAAGTAAGAATCTTTAGTCGTCAATATAGTTCTTCTAAATACACCCCCAAATACAGCTATATATATATGTTGATAATAATGAAATTTTGAAGATGAATTATGCAGTGAGCTGGGAAATAGTTTTAAATTCCTAAAGGAATAACTTCACTATTTATAGCTTCTACCTTAATCTTGAGTGATGGATTTACTGAGTATCATGAATTCAACATATTGGTCAGATGATATTTCGAAATCGCTGTCGTAATAAATACATTTAGGATTTAAATCATAACGATACACACGGAAATCTTGAATATGCTATATTTTCAATAGATTAGGAGTTGAAAGTTCGAACGACCAATAAAATCACTGACATTTAGTCTTAAAATATAGAAGAAATAAATTGGTGGTTATTTTCATCCTATCAGTCTAGTCTATCAATCAGCCAGTCATATTTCGCTGGTTTCAAGAAAAAAAGTATTTAACTGTAATTAAGAAACACGGATATTTCATGTGTTGTAATCTTTGTAACTTGTATAATAACACACTCTTCAGTGCCGATAAAGAAACCAAACTAATAAGATCTTCATTTTTAGTGTGTTGCTGCACACTGATTGGCTAATTCTTATCCAGTCAGTGCTGGTCGATACTTGGAGAATACCCATGTAAGAAAATTACAAATATACTAACGTCTTTTTCCTTTGAACCTTCTGTCTTCCTTCCAACCTTGTTGTTGAAATAAAATCTATTTCCGAGAATATTAAGCATTAGGAATAGCTGGGTTGTAATAAAGAGAGAATTATAACAGTAACTCTTATTAACTAATCTGTCAAGGTCAATTGAAAAAATTTTAATTTACCATTCTGTAATCTACTGTTAGATTAAAAATTTTGCAGCCAGTCATTATCTCATTGATTTCATATGATGAATATGACCTTCATTATTTAAAAGTTTTTTAAAAAGTAAATTTTCGCTTAGGTTTAATCAGTTTGTGATAAGTAGATTTTAAAAAACAGAATTTTCTAATCATTGATTTTATTAATAGCAGTCTATAAATATTGGCAGATATTTAGCATAGTTGTGTGGTTACGACATTGACTGGTTAATTTAGCCTATTTCGATTATACCATGACACAAGCTTAAGAGTGATTGAGTTAATTTTACCACTTAGTTTTATTAAGCTTTTCAATTGAATATTTTAGTACTTTTGTTTAAATCCTTGTTCTTAAATGAAACATCTTGATTTATAAGTTATTCGTTACTCGTAACACATGCTTTGTTTAAAAAGTAAAATAGAACTAGACCATCGTTTTATCTATTACACTTTGTGAGCAGGTGGCACATACATGATAAAATAGTGGTCATGTTTTGAGATCTAATACTGATCATTTTTAAATCTGATTAAGTCTTTTTGAAACAGAATAACAGTTTTAAAAATTATTACTAACAAATATACTTAATTACTGCCAAGATGTGACGGTTACGATTAGGTCTACCTACTTACAACTATGCTTCCTCGTAGCTCATAGTCCATTAACCAGGAATCTTCAGCGAACTCTGTTCTGAGCTCTCCTATCCAGATGTTTTCAAGTCCTATTCATTCTTTTGAAGCCTCAACCTCAATTTCTATTGCAATGTGTTCTTTGGTTTACTTCTTGTACTTGACTCTTGATAGTTAAAAGTTGGTGAGGCAGTTGGGTGATTTCCACAATGTGTACGCTATCCACTTCTAGCGCTTTTTCTTTATTTCTTCTACAACTAGAATCTAGGTTGGTTCTCTCCCACAGTGGGTTGTATTGTGATGATATCTAGAGATCGGATATGAAGTATCTTCAGTAGATAATTGTTTATAAATACCTGTATCTTTTGAATGATGGTTGTAATAGTTTTTTTCAAGGTTTTGCTTTATAAAGGCGAACTAAACGTTTTTGCTGAACATTCTGACTCTAATATTGGCTGATAAATCGTTTGAATTCAAGATCCTCTTCAGTTGTAAGAATGTTTTCTGATCATTCACCTCGATCAATTTAGGATATGTCTGATTACATCACCAATGAGTTACTATCTCATCTGTGACTCAGTTGACTTTTCCGGAAATTAGTTTTTCAATAAATTCTCAAAGCTGGTTGCTACTGAGTACTACATTATTATTATTATTATTATTATTACCAAACAATTTAATACAGACTTCTACAAATTACAAAACTAATGTCGATTGAAGAGTCAATGAGCCTATAAAATAAAATTCACTAAATAAAAATATTGTAATTTCTATTGATATGTACAGTTTTTAGTAGTTCAAAGAATTAAGGATTAGTTATTTTGTGGATTGGTTGATTACTGCATTTATTTATTGTCGGGATTTTTCGGTTAATCATCAAGGTGTAACCAATATCAATGAAATTTTCCTTTGATGACTTACATTTATTTACCTAATGGTTACATTTCTTTCAGCATATAATTTATTCAGTCCACCGAAACGTTTTATTTCTTACATTAAGGAGCTTTTTTAAAACCATGGCAACATGATAACAGTCAATGTTATTTGATTTAATGAAGAATCTGTCTATTAGTTTCGTGTATATAATTTTTTGTACTTACTTTATGTTATCAGAAACTGATTAATTCTTAGGAAATTATTAGTTTATTAATAATTTCAAACAATTCTTGCCATACAATAGCATTTATTGTACAATTATCAGTCAGTCAGTCAGTCAGATGCATTTCGAGGGTGAGAACCGCATCCCTAACATGCTTGCATTGTTGCTTAGGGTAGTCAGAAGACTCTGCATTTTGTCAGCGTCTCCATCAAGTAGGACTATGTCATCGGCATATTCTAAGTCAATAAGCGAGCCACCTGGTAGAAGGTCTACTCCTGAAAATTCAGACGAGGATAAGGTTATTTCTAGGAGTATGTCTATGTACGATTATAATGGCATTCTTCGGTTGTGTTCAGTGATACTCGAAATCTTACCGTATTTTCTTATACTCCATAGCTTTAATCTATGAAGTGAGTCACAAAAAAACATTTACTAAAATAGAGGCTTGAAGTGTTCAAGAAATTCGATAGGGTATTCGAAAATAAAAAAATGTTCAAGATAATAATTAGTTTTAATAACTTCATTATCGTGTTTTATGGATCTTCTTAAATCACAAAACCAAAATGATATTTACAAAATAACTCTAATCGTATTGAACAATACAACTCAAAAGAAGTCGATCACTTTAATTCACCTCTCCATGGGATCGGGTGCGTAGACGTTACATGAATTATGGATGAAATCCTTCTTCTTACGTACGTACGAAGTTCTACGTTGTAATTGACTGACTGACTGACAAATATATGACTTTCATGGATTGTTCATCAACAAATTTAAAAAATTTCCACTAGCTGAGAGAAAACTAACAAGATTTGAAATGAACACAGGAGATTCGAAAATAAAAAATGTTTCAAGCTAATAATTATTAATTTCAATAAATTCATTATCGTGTTCTATGGATCTGAATTGACAAAACTGCATAAAAATAGCCAAAATGATGTTTATAAAATAACTATAACTGTATTGAACAACACTAATGCGGCCAACTCAAAATAAGCCGATCACTTTCATTCAGCTCTCCATGGGGTCGTGTGCGTAGACGTTAAGTGAAATGTCCATGAAATCCTTCTTCATAGGTATGTACGTATGTACTAAGTTCTACTTTGTAATTGACTGACTGACTGACAAATATAAGGCTTTCATGCATTGTTCATCAACAAATTTAAGGAAT